AGCAGATCACGTTCACACCGGAATAAGTCCCTGGGTGAGGATTAGGCAAATGAAGCTGCTGACGTCACTTCTTCTTCTTCTGCTTTGGGTTTACTGGCAGGCCGCAAACAACTTCACGGCGTATACTGCCACCCGAAGTCCCCGGCCGGAAGTCCCCGGAGTTGGGGACTGGCTTCAGTAGAAGCTGCTGGGACTCCCAGTAGCTTCGACTGAAGCCTTCCGAGTAAATCGCTAGAACGCAGACACCTCCTCATCTCCACCGCTCCCATGTTTTCTTTTGTGTTGCCATAAATTAGTCTCTCTCCGTTTGTGCGCTGGGCTAATGCTAATAATGCTAATGCGAGGAAAATAAAATGGTGGCTTCACAAAACGTTTTTACGAGTTTTACGGGGCGTGGTTTGCAATCCGCCCAGCCAATCAGACATGGGAACCTTTTTCTCCCATGAAAGTACCTGCTCTCTAGCAGGGACTGAAAAGGGGGTGGTAAGGTCCTCATGAAATAAATTCTAGTTCCGGATTTTTTTGGTGTGAACGCACATATTCGGAACTATATCGGAACTATAGCCTACTGGGAAAAGTACTCCGGTGTGAAAGCGCCTATTTATGTCTCTTATACTTGTTTTGACTCTTTCCTACTCATTTTCCATCTTTTTGTGGTTTCTTTGCAATTGTTTTGCAACTCTTCGTAATTGTATTTGGTCTCTTTGAGTGGCATTTTGTAGGTAAAGGCAAGGATGGGCTCACGATGCTTTGGGTTTATAAACCTGTGGCTGGTAAACCCTTTCATCCATAGTGAGTAGTGAGTACAGTCTCACAGATTGGCTAGTGTGATTGTAGACTGTCTTGTTCCACTGAACTGTCACAGTGGGGTATATTGCTTTGTAGATTTCTTGAACCACCTGCCAGTATTGTTATATACACAGTGAAATATGCACGCTGCGATTTGATCCCATATATCCCTGGGCAGATTAGGGCAGTGTCAGTACAGGATTACCCGGGTAATTCATGTAATGCTGCTTCACCACAGTTAATTTCCCAGTGGATGAGCGCAGAGAGTTGAGTTATACGGCAGCGCGAGCTCCCCAAACTACAGTGTATCATTCTCTTACACTTCTCCATCCCATCTACAGGTTTGATATGCAAACGACAAGACTTTCTGTCTTAACGGGCTGTCGTGGATTTATTGTGGGCATAAGGCTGCAGTGATTAAGGTGTGGAGCCGCCTTTCCATTGAGCGGTGAGCTGCTGAATGCAAATAGCAAATGTCTAATTGTAAGGCAATCATAATGCATTCTGAGCTCCAATCATCATTTTCATCTCGCAGGTATGATGTTAAAATAGGGGAATAGCAATAGACGCAATAGAAAAGTCAAATGCAGCTTGTGGACATTTAGTTATAACTGCGTTTCTTTTTAAGATGAGCTGATTAGCGTCAAGTCAAAAGCATAAGGTGACGCTAACCTCCACGGAGCCCATGTTCTTGGTGAGGAGGCCACAGGAGAAGCTGGACTCTCGTGTAATTATCCCTCCCTGTGGAAATTAAAGATGACCTTTCTAAGTAGGGAGCTGCTAATATAATTCAGTGAAGAAATACTGTCACTCATATTCCTTCGCAGAATGTACTGTCAGCAATATTGCAGGTGATTTAAGGCACGACGTGAGGTTGTGAAAGGTCTTCTTAGAGTTTTTTCACTGGGTTGGTAAAATGTCTACGGTGTAAGTAGGTAAAATGGAATAGAGGTGTGGGGGAAAAGCTATAAAAATGTGTGGTTGTGCTTTAAAAAAATACAAAACAAATAATATAAATGGATCGGGTCCTGGAGAGACTTTAACAAGCCACTGCCACTTTTGCATTGGCTGATTTGCCACCCATGCATTTCATCGTAAGTATCTCAGTGAGGCACTTTCGAGATAATCATTTGACAGGCTGCTGCAGCCCTATTAGCCCTCGGATATTTTAATTGGCCGGGCAAAGTGTGTGCGAGGGAGGCTTCTGCTCTGGGTCCACCCTGTGTCAAAATTAATTCTTAATTTGGAGAACATTTTCTTTTTTTAAACCTTAATACACCACAGAGGATCCATGAATCTCTGTAAACCTGCATGGGAATGCAAAATAGTCACAGAAACAAACCGACACACACACACACACACACACACACACACACACACACACACACACACACACACACACACACACACACACACACACACACACACACACACACACACACACACACACACACACACACACACACACACACACACACACACACACACACACACACACAGAGACCTAGAAAGGAGTTGCAGTGTATTTTTGCCCCTGGCGCCCATAATTCTCTGCTGATTACACTGAGTGTGGTTTAATGGAAGCCCCAATAACTTGGGCTGGAGATCCAGACACACACACACACACACACACACACACACACACACACACACACACACACACACACACACACTGTAGGAAGCCAGAGAGCGCTGCTGTCAGATGGAGACGGAAAGAGGACGGAGAGATTAAATTCTGCCAGGGTTTTTTTGTCTGTGAGATTGGTTCTTAGCGTCCCCAGCTCCCTTCACACCCCCTATTAGCACGGCGAAGAAGGGAGAGCACGGACGGAGGGCTGGAAAAAGAATAGGAAACCTCAACAGAGACAGTACTCGGTGGATACTTAACAATGTTATTAATCCATTAATCCTTGTTTGACATTTGCCAATGCATCACCCCTGATTGCTCCTTCTTTTACAGCTGCAGGCTACAGAGGCTTTGTGTTTTTGTGTGTAACATCTTTTTTCACCCATATTAGCTTTGCAGGGTCCTCAAAAGAATGGAAAGGTGATGAAAACGCACCAAAGTGAGGACATGTAGTTTGTCTCCGAATGCACAGGGCGAAAGGTTCGGAGTTAACACGATAAATCGTTTCTGGAGGTCTGTCATCCTTCTGCTTAACACTATTTGGAGTAATAGCATTATCTAAGAGCTGAGAAAACGACACAGCCCGATGGCAGCAGCTTTAAAGCTAAATGGTTATTTGAAAGTAAATACTTGTGTCTTTATAAGAAAGAAAGTAGGTATGAATAACTTCTATACATCTAGCACACAAAGAGTAACATCAGCTTTGACTCGGAGCTGTGTTTCTGATCGGTTTACAATTTAAAGCTCAATATTCACTTTCCTATCACCTCAAGCTTGGGTCCCACCACCAACTCCTGGATGGCACTGTCAGCAACACAAAGGACATACGAAAGATTAAACGGTTGTGAGTCTAAACATAAGCTATACTAGAATAATATGCCATCAGACAGTTCCTAGCGACGGTGAAATAATACGCGCTTTCACACCGGAGTACTTTCACCCGAACTTTTCCCGTTTAGTTCCGTTAGTGTCTGGAATTTTGCATTCACACCAAAAAGAGAACTTAGTTCAGAGAACTTGTACCCCCATTTGTAGTGCCTGCTAGAGAGGTGGGACTATCCTGGGGAGAAAAAAGTACAATTTTCTGATTGGCTGGGCGAATTTGAAACCATGCCCCGTAAAACTCGGAAAAGTTTTGTGAAGCCGCCATTGTATTTGCTGGCATTAGTATTAGCATTATTAGCATTAGCCCCGCGCACCAACGGAGAGAGACTAACTTATGGCAACACAAAAAAAAACATGGGAGCGGTGGAGATGAGGAGGTGTCGGCGTTCTGGCGATTTACTCGGAAGGCTTCAGTAGAAGCTNACTTTGCGGGACTCACACACAGCATTTTATTACCTTTGTCCGCGTCCACCCAACTTGAGACTATGTCCCGCATTTAGTGATAGTCACGCAGAAGGCCGGATCGGTTCGCTGACAGCCGGCACCGACTTTATTACTTATTTTCTAAACGCATCATGTAAATTGCGCTGACATGCGACACAGGGTCCCCCAAGCCCCCCTCGTTGACAGTTCACGAGCGCGTTCCATAGTGTCTCCCGTCCAACCACCACCCCGTCCACCCAGTAAAAAAATCCCCACTACACCACTGGGGATTATCTATTTAAAACTAAAACTAAAATCAGGTGCAATATGCAGATGTTTTAGGTATAGACTCAGAGCTATTGACATGTAAAACAAATGTCCATCCATTTACATTGGTGCACCCAGTGAGGCAAGTTTTAAAATACTCCCAAATAAAAGCAATAACCCCAAGGATAATTGACCAAACTGAACAATTGATAGACCAAACACATCCGATTGCAATACGATGTGTTGTGTTGTTTTGTTTCTTACCTCAACTTGTGTTCGTCTTCCCATTAAGACTTTTGTTACATGTCTTGTTTCATTTGTAATGTTTTGTTGTCTGTGGACCTCAGGAAGAGTATAGCTGCCAACTTTGCTGCAGCTAATGAGGATCCAAATAAAGAAAACAGCGCTGGTGTACATGCCTCAGACATTTCCCTGTATTTTTCAGTGTGTTTCATGGTTGTTTTCTTCTGTGTCTTGTTTTCCAGGTCCTGGCAATTATCTCCATCCTCTTCATTGTGTTGTCTACCATTGCCTTGTCTCTGAACACCCTTCCAGAGCTGCAGGACACAGATGAGTTTGGTCAATCCACAGACAACCCGCAACTGGCCCATGTGGAAGCTGTGTGTATCGCCTGGTTTACCATGGAGTACCTTCTCCGCTTCATCTCCTCCCCAAGCAAGTGGAAGTTCTTTAAGGGTCCTCTAAATATCATCGACCTGCTGGCCATCTTGCCCTACTACGTCACCATCTTCCTGACAGAATCCAACAAGAGTGTGCTGCAATTTCAGAACGTTCGTCGCGTGGTTCAGATTTTCCGTATCATGCGGATCTTGCGCATTTTGAAGCTGGCTCGTCACTCTACAGGTCTCCAATCTCTGGGATTTACTCTCAAGAGGAGTTATAATGAGCTGGGCCTGCTCATTCTCTTCTTAGCCATGGGCATCATGATATTCTCCAGTCTAGTGTTCTTTGCAGAAAAGGATGAAGAGGATACCAAGTTCAAAAGCATCCCAGCTTCCTTCTGGTGGGCTACCATTACTATGACAACAGTTGGCTATGGAGATATTTACCCAAAAACCCTGCTGGGAAAGATAGTTGGGGGTTTGTGCTGTATCGCTGGAGTACTGGTGATAGCCCTGCCCATCCCCATTATCGTGAATAACTTCTCTGAGTTCTACAAGGAGCAAAAGAGGCAGGAGAAAGCCGTTAAAAGAAGGGAGGCTCTGGAGAGGGCTAAGAGAAACGGTAGCATTGTTTCTATGAACATGAAAGACGCACTTGGCCGCAGTGTAGAGCTCATGGATATAATGGTGGAAAAAAGTGATGAAAATAAGGAGAAGGGGCAAGATAATCACATTCCTCCTAGTTTGGAAACAGAGACACCTAAACTCAAGTCACATATGAGCCCGCGCAGCCCCACCAAGACCCTCGAATCGAGTTACCAAGAGCAGGCCAAGCCGTCAAGCAGTCCTCAGCATCTAAGCGCACAGAAACTGGAGGAAACGTACAACAAGATGACTGGGGTCTCGCCACAATCCGACCTCATAAAGAAAAAAGGCCCACTGCCTAAAATAGTTAGGCAGAGAGCTGAATTAGAGATGGGAACCATTCCAGCTGAAGCCATCTCAAGAAAAAGAGAGACAGTTTCAGACATGAGGAGCATGTCCAGCATTGACAGCTTCATCACCTGCGCCACTGACTTCCCTGAAAGCTCTCGTTTTTCACACAGCCCCATCACAAGCATGCTAGGTAGAATCAGCACCAATCCTAGCCTGGAGCCCACCTTGGAGAATGAGCATGAAGGATCCCAAGGCACCAACACCCCCGTGACAGGGCGAGGCACCAAGCTGGGTCCGTACTCTGACAGGCCTAGAGATCTGCGCTCAAACAACCCGCTCAAAAGCCACTCACTCAACGTTAATTTCAGAGCTGGGGAGGATCCAGGGACAGGGGCCTTCTCAGACAGCTCGTCAGTCCAGAGCCCTGAGGTGTCCGTCTACACAACTGCCAGAAGCAGCACTCCCAGCAAGAGCCCGGAGAACTTACTGCCCAACAGCCTCTTCACATTCCACGACTCATCCGTTAATACATTCATAGATGCTGACACAGACGAGGAAGAGCACATGCTTGATGGTTCAGGCAACAACACATCCCAAAGACTCATGGAAAAAGCCAGCCATCACTCCAGCTTCCAGCAAGGTCCCAACCGTATGGAGGGTCTGCAGAGGAGGCTGGGGAACAGGAAACTGCCGCTGGAAGGACAGGAGAACCATGTGGCTCAGGAACTACAGCCACTTCAGGGAGAGAACAGCCACTCTAAAGCTTACAATAAGTGAGAGACCATGAAGGAGGAAGCCACTATGGAAGTACAAGAAGCACAGTGAACTCAGAAAACTCCCAAAAATATGAAAGGCACTGAAAACATTTGTAGGAACATTTATATAATTACAACAATATAATTATTCTCCCGTGAAAATCGTTTTGGACAATGGGAAGGAGTTTAGCTTTTTGCTCTTTAACTTTTTCCCACTAAGGACTGTAATCGCTTTTAAATTGTCAAGAAAAATGTTTGTTTAGTTCAGATCCTTATATAATAATTCCAGCCTAGTTGTAAGAGTATATGATGTAATTTTTATAAGCAAATCCTATTTTTCTGACATCCATACCATACCACTTTAAAGCCACAATAGCAGAAGCTGTCCAAACAGTAGCAAACAAAAAAGGGCATTAAATCAAAACGTGAAGGTCCTTCAGCTGAGATAATAACTACGTTGTTGTGTGAAAGGGGAACTTACATTTGAATGTATTGGTTACAGTATATAATTGGCTGGAAGAAGTATGTTGGAAATGTTTATTTAGATTCATTTAACTTCAACCTTTGTGTTTGTGTGAAAAGAGAGAGACAGAAAGACTGGCGGAAAATAAATATACTATAGAGTATAATAATTATGATGTAGCGTTTGTGATCTTCTAAGTGTGCACTTGATGGAGATCACGTATTTCAGTCTGAGTTTGATGTCGCTCATATTTTTTACTGCACAGAAAACCTTTTTAGACAACACGCAGAGAGACACTGTGAGGCTGTATCCATACATTTCACTTTTTTGTTCCCAACTGCAACCAAGAGAGAGCACCTTAAATATTATAATGTTTTATTATGAACACAGAAAAAACCTCTTTATTCTTGTTTGTGTTGGTGTTTGTGTTGTTGAAATCAAAGTTTGAATATGGAGAAAATCTAAAGTCTAATCTTTTATTTATAAACTTTCTCAAAGGTGTTTTAGAGGAGATATCATTCCTATCGTAGCTGATAATCTGAACTTTATATACATTGACAGTGCTTATGAGCTGCAAAGAAAGCATTGTGTGGATATTGAACTTGTATAACTGCAACAGCAGAATATAACAAAAAACAATGTATCGTACAAGGTGAAGAATGAAAATAATTTATATTTTTAAGATATTTTCTAAAACAATAGAAAAATATATTGTATTAATCTTGCAGTTTTGCATTTAGATTTAGTATGTATGGCATAGTATGTGATGGAGTTGCATCTGTAAGGCAATATACTGTTGTAGATGAATTTGTGTTGTTTGGTACTGTCTCCTCGTAAATGTCCGTCCCTCTCTTGTTTGTGCAATGTGAAGAACCAAAGAACTGTTCTTTCTGATAACTCGTAGATTATGGTAAGTTTTACTGTTTTACTTAAAGTGTAAGAAATGTAAGCATTCCTTTTCTAAATCTGACATAATTCAGGGAGCCATACGTGCTCATTTGGTAACAACATGTAAGAAAGCTGTAGAGAGGAAACGAAGGAGGAACCCAGCACTTTATTTTACATTTATTTTGAAAGCTAATTTGATTATTTACACACTGTAGATCTCGGCAAGTGGTCTGCTTTCAGAGATCCTCAACATCACGCTCATATGAATTAACATGACATTTCTTACAAACATAAAGCCACCTCGCAGCTTCATACAGTAAGGGGACACAAACAGCATGGAGGTCCCATGTAGGCCGCTTTAGATCAACCAAATATCCTGCCTCCTGCTTCTATGTATCCACATAACTCCAAACACATGATCATCCGGTGCTTTGATGGTCCTTGTAACATGCAAATATGGTTTAATAGCATTTATTACTTTAAAACATGAAATGCAAGCATGCTACAAAGCGTCTATTTTTAGTAGTGGGTGTCTATACGCTTAAAGATATTTTAGATCACTGCACATAGCATGAGTTAGACATTTCTGTGCCTTTGTTTTAAACTTACGCCTGCCGCGCACACCCAACCTGACAGTTTCTGACAGCCCGAATGACAATTAAACAAACTGTGCAGCAAATCAACACGAACAGAACTGGGTCATCGAGCTGTCAGACTGCTATTAGAGCTACAACCTTCCCTCTGATGTCTTTCCTGTACACCTAAACAGTTACGTGAAAAATACCCAATACGCGAAAACAAGCAGGTGCAGACCTACTAAGCGAAGTGAACTTCCACTGTTTCCATGGTGATGGTTAAGATGACTGGATGGCTCGGATTCGATGCAAGCATGTAGCCTAATTTGTACAGATGGATTCCTTAAAGACTCAATATACATTATTAATATACACAGTGTTTACATCGTGTTCATGAATTCATTAAAGCACTCTGTCATGTGTTTTTCACTCCTCATCTGTGGCTTCAGTCTGGTGGATTTAATTATCTAACAAATATGTAAAAGTAAACTGGATCGTGGGCCTTTAAGTCAGACTGACACATCATCCCTTTATGCAGTGTTTTTCATGGAAACACTGACACATCTCAGAACATTGCAATAGTGTGAAGGTAGATAAGAAGGTAGAGAGCTGGATTACAGCTGACCCCCAATGATAGCTGCATTCTTCACCTCCTGTTGTGTTCTTCCATTACCTATTTTCCCCAGGATGACGGTGCAGAAATGGCAGTTGGGTTGAGGCATACTTTTGAGGATGTGTTCATTTCTGTGATCCTATAAATATCTTCCTTGGCATGAAAATAGAGAGTCTGGGCCAGAAGGAAAAGGCTCAGTTACACCAATGTCTGGGCGGATTGGGTCATAGAGGAACACATTTTGTAACAAAAGAACAATGGCAATGGTGATCTAGGAGGAGATTCAGGTGATAAGGTGGCGGGGTTACCTTGGTTGGTTATTAGCTAATGGTTACACAAGCCAAAAAAACGTTATGACATCATACAGTGGCCAAAATCTGATCAGCTCATTTTCAGACAGGTTAAATGGATCAGGAGAAAAAGTGAATTCAGAATCTCTTTACACAGAGGGGACACATGTTTATGTATGAAATATAGGAAAAAGTGGATTTTGCATAATAGGTGACCTTTAAGTTAAAATACAGAAACAGACACTGGTGCGTAGGACTTGTTACAGCAGAGCCCTAAACGCTGCATGGTAATGGGATAGAAATGTCAAAATACAAGATGATTTAGAATAATGAAGGCATAACAAGCACCGGAAGATACTAAATAGGTAAAAAGGGAGTTTGTGTTACAAAGTGAAAACTCATTAACATTCATCACACAACAGTCAGACATGCAGTAAATGCCGACTAATTGGAAGTAAGCCTCTTATCATAGTGGTCTTAGTTCCAAACAAGCCATGGTCAATGTTATTGGTTACAATTATTTATTTATGTTGGATGAAGGTTAACATTGTCCCTATAGTTTCTTTCAGTCTTGTTTTCTAAACCGCACTTTATTTATTTGTCTTTTTTTAAATCCTCTGCTTTCTAGTAAACATGCGTAGAATAAAAGGCTCCAATACTATTTCCAAAAGCACAAAGTAGAAATTCAATAAGTATATGTTTTTTCTCCAAGCACAATACATCACACTAGAGTTTAAAGCCAAATCATTTCGTTTTCGGAATCATCCCTCTTGTTGAGGTTGTTACTCTCGTCTGTTCATCACACACAGGTTTGTATTTTACCCTTACTGTGTGTGAGGTTTGTTTTGTAAAGTTTCATACTTTGTTCCAGTCGACTTCGTAGACTATTATCTTTGTGGTTTCCTGTTGTTCAACGCATGTAGCGCTATTAAACTTTGACACACAAAAATTGTAAATATTATCTAAGAAGCTATAAGACAATGTGAATGATCAGAAATGTTGACACAACTTTCTAATTTTACTGACTGATGCTTAATAAAATACAATAATCCAGTGTTGGTCCCTCAATCAATTAACTGTGCTTTCGTAAATACCACTGAAAACAAATACCAGGATGATAATGCATGAGCTAACAGTGACAATGTGCAAGCTTTGGTTTGTGTAATGAATTTGTGTGTTATACAACAGCACCCTCCAGTGTTAGGTTCTGTGTTCAACCTAAAGAAGCAAACACAAACATACATAATGACACGTGATTATATAGTTTGAAAGGATGCCACAAAAAGTTATTTTCATTATCAATTACTCTATCAATTATCTCAGAAAAAACTAAAAATGTCCCTCAGAATTTCCTACGGCCCAAACTGACATTTTAAAGGTTGTGTTATGTCTGAACAGTCCTTAAATATTACATTCAGATACATATAAAACTAAAAGAAGATGCAAATATATTTCAATCTATTAACATGTTAAATTGTTTTGCCTTGTCTAATGTAAATATGTTCCAGTATTGGACAGTAACTTCATTTAAATTACATGCTGTACAATTACGTTGTATTGACTTGATACTGACACTTTTTATGATATAGAAAATTATACTTATTTTTTACAAAAGTCTTTAAATGTCATAAACATATTGAAGTCCAATATGTCTATGACATTTTTATAACCTACTATAAGATCAACTTTATAAAGTTACTTTATAAAGTACTGCTAAACCTTTTTGAGTCAGACTTAATTATATTTGACTTTCAATTATACATAATATATTTAATTTGTAATTATATATGTATTATATGATATACTTACTTCATATGTGTTATGTGACATGACGTCATGAAACGTCACGACCAAAGTTTTGAAGAGGATTACATCACAGTCAAAGTCACAACATTAGGCTTTTCACAAGACAAAAACATTCCTGACGTCAAATAGGAACATTTAAGAACAAGCTAAAACTTAAAAACAAGACCCCTAAAGTTTAGGTCACCACTGCTGTAAAGGTCTTCATAAAATTGAAGTGAATGTAAAATATAAGGAGTAGTAATAAAAACAGAAACGTTACTTTATGAAACATGCTCGAAATGAGGAATTTATGCACAGGTGCTTAGCAGTTTATCACCTTAACATTTTACTGAGCGTTGGATAATCCTCCTCCCCATGGATCAGAAATAACTTTGTGTGAAAAGCGAAAGGAATGTCTACATAAGAGTTTACCAGTCATGGGTTGGATACTAAATATATACTTGTGTGAAAGAATTGTATTGTTGTTTATGTTGGCTAAGGTAAAAGATCTTACATAAAAGTCCAAAGCTCACAGTAAAGGATAAGTTACTTTTTACATAACACAAACTAGTTATTTTTAACTTAAATCATGTTTCTAACTGCAAGGGAATCAAGGTGAAGTTAAACCTCTAATCAGCTGACTGACTGCAAGCTGTAAACATTAACCAAATCAAAATAGTATATTAAGAAATTGGTATTCCTATATAAAAAAAAAAGAGTTCACTGACTGTAAATATAAATATGTCTTTAATAAATATAAATACATTTGGATTGAGATTTCACTCCAAGAAATGTGCTCTTTGGATCCACATAGGTATAAATGGAAAAAGAAGTAAAGCCTTAATTTAAATGACTAATAATTTATGGTGTACAGAAAAAAGTATGATTGTGATGTCAGTTACATTGCCCTTTAAGTTAAATTCAATACAATTTGAAATAAAAAAAACTAAAATAGTAATTTTTTGTTTGTCGGTTCAAACAAAAACAAAAATCATTTAGGATAGACCTCTGAATTCATATCAAATTTTTCCGGATTAAGACTTAAATATAAACAAAGATACAGTTGTATCTTTCATTCATTTTGTATAATTCAATTCTAACAATATAACCATGATTGTTGGATAAAGAGCCCCCAGATTTCCTACTGTGAAATTAAAACAAAATGTAATGTAGATGTTGAGTTTAGCGGTATCTTGATGAATTTGTGAGGGACTGATCCCCAATAGCAATACAACTGACATATATAAAAAAGATATGGCTGTAACAAATATAACATACAGTGCAAAACATATTAGTTTAAAATGTTTGTTGATATGTCTGATTATTTATTTTTGTGTAAGTGTATTGTATCATTTTATGACATGTGCAGTCAATAATGTAATCCTTAATGTTAATATAACAGAATCTATGCTGTTATGTGTACATCTCTCAGCTTCATTGCAAACATTCGGCCCATTGCCTGCTGGCTTTGGCTCTGGAGTGTTATGTTAATCCTCCTCGGTCATACTCTGCCACTGTTTATGAACGAGTTATGAATGCGCACGGGTTAGTCCATTAGCTCCTTGGTCATCAGACAAAAAGCCATTCTATTGGTGGTCACCATCGAGCGGCGTCCTAATCCTGCACACACGTTATATAAAATGCCCATCCACCGGCGCGACACGCAAACACCAATACTCCGAAACCTGGCGGTCCGCTTGTTTGGCTCATACCGGGACAGGACAGAAGCATCATGATAGTCATAGTGGACCTGCTGCTGATGCTCATCGACCTGACCTACTCCATCCTGAGTGCCATCGTCCAGACTGTCCTGCGGCCGAGGCTCAAGTGCATTGATGGAGAGCTCTGTCTGATCACCGGGTCGGGGGGCGCGCTGGGGCGGCTGTTCGCCCTAGAGTTTGCCAAAGAGGGGGCGCACCTGGTGCTGTGGGACTGCAACGAGGAGGCCAACGAGCAGACCGCCAAACTGGCACGGGAGCTGGGAGTTAAGGTTCACGCGTACACGGTGGACCTGTCCAAGCGCATGAGTATTTATGAGACGGCCGACAGGGTGAGAGCGGAGGTGGGGGATGTCTCCATACTGGTCAACAACGCAGGAGTTGTGGCCGGGCGGAGGCTGCTTGACTGTCCCGATGAGCTTCTGGAGAGGACTCTGTTGGTGAACTGCCACGCGCTGTTTTGGGTGAGACTTGACGCACGCATCTTTTACGCACAACCTATGCAATCGTAAAACTTATGATCGACTCAGGGCATCAGGCTGACATGTATCAGGCTGACATAACTTGTGTAACATCAACGCACCAATCCTCCCCCTGGCCCGGGTCTGTATTTGTGCACTGGTGTGTGAAGGGATCAGAGCAGCACAGCTACAGTATGTCCTAAATGTGTTCAGGTTTCACGAGCAGGATACAAGTCAGAGGCGGTAACATTAAACACATCCCCATAATAAAAGGAGCCGACTAGTCAAGAAATCATGTGATTCGGCTCTTGATCCCCTTTAAGCCTCAGTCTTGTGCTCATACAATAAAGTGTTAAGCTCTTAAGCATCAAATGTCAAGATATCACACACATACAGTGGAAGGATATCTGTTAAAGCACAACGTGTCACTTTTGGGAATAGTTGGCAGCAACTAAAGGACATCAGAGCCAAAATGAGAAATCTGGGCTCAGGATAAACTGTCTTTGCTTTCACCCTTTGTTCAGGATTATGCACTTTATGAGCACAGCATCAGCGTAATTAATAAAGGTCTGAAAAATAGATTTGACACAAAGCCCGTCTTCAAAGAGATTGCCTCAAGCCTGAATTCTTAACAATAAGGCTCTTATCATGCGAGTTGTTATATTGTTCATAATCCCTTACAAAGTTACATAAAATGTCAATTTAGAGAAGCTGCTGCTTTGGTTGCCCTTTGGTCATTAACCTTGCCTATTAATGCCCCAGGTTCATGATGTTGTAAATAGATTTGTAGTAATAAAAAAACAAGCTCCTTGCTGTTATTTCCATTGTTAATGTTATTAATGTTTGTTTAAGGAAATGCAATGCAAGTTAATGGGAGTTAGGTGAGCCTGTTTACAAAAAATCCTTATGTACAGATTAAGTAGATGATTTTTCCAGTTAGATACACTGAAATACTTAAATATATTTGATTTCAACAGCAGTTTGTACAAATATTTGGTCTTACTCTGATCTCATAGAATAAGTAAAACACTATTAGTCAACACGTATAAACACACAATTAAAGTACATTGACATTGGGTCGTGTTGTTAGGTTCCCTTGTATTATTTGGCATCATTTGTATCGTGTGTCAAATGGCATGATAATGGATGATTGATTTTAGTAAAAATCATCGTGTGTAACCCAACAGATGACAAAGGCCTTCCTGCCTCAGATGAAAACAACAAACCACGGTCACATTGTGACTGTTGCCAGTGCTCTTGGACTATTCAGCACTGCATGTGTGGAGGTAAGAAACAAGATTACTGACTCACTGGACCACAATCTGAACAGACAAGTCCTAGACCAATCAATTATAGTGCACATCTAAACACCAGCATTTACTTTCTTCCTATAGGATTACTGTGCTAGTAAATTTGGAGCCGTAGGTTTCCACGAGTCACTGACGCACGAGTTGCTGGCTGAGGAAAATGACGGCATCAAAACCACTTTAGTCTGCCCTTACATTGTAGACACTGGGATGTTTGCAGGTTGTGAAATCAGGTAGGCCAGCATTCATCATTTAGTTGTTGTCTTACCTAGAAATAATGTTCTATAATGTACACTTGTTTTTATAATGACCAGGAAGGAGCTCCGGGGTCTTATTCCCCCTCTGGACCCCCTCTACACAGTGCAGCAGTCGATGAAAGCCATTTTAGCCGAACAGCAAATGATCTGCATTCCTCGCCTTATGTATATCCCCTTCATAACAAGAGCGTGAGTATACTGTGAAGTGAATGCTAAGGCCATTAGAGATTAGAAAGAAAACACATAAATTATTTGGGAACAAGACGATAAATTCAATGGTATTGTTTTTGTTCCTTCCCTTGTCTAGATTGCTACCTTGGGAGGCAAATGTGGCGACATATCGCTTCATGGGAGGTGACAAATGCATGCTTCCCTTCATCAAGAATGTTGAACTAAAGAATGTCAACGGCCACGTCAAATCCTAAGACCTCTCCGCCAGTCTCTTTTATAACCGTGGACCAATGCAGACTAAAGGCTCCAAGTGTTTATCCTTAACAAATGAAGGGAGAGCCAAATACCTGCAGGTTTATTTTTACAATGGGATGAAGGGTAACTGTATTAGCAGCAATGTTGCAGTTTATTTAACCATTACTAGATCGAAAGGGGACCCAGTGTTTGCTTGATGAAAAGGAATTCCACCTCCTTATAAATCAATAGAAATATTGATTTATATGTGTACCGGAGGCCAAAGATCCAGAAGTGATACATGTTTCTAAAATAATGCTCCCAGAAAAGAGGCTGCGCTCAGAGCAGAGCTATACAAGTGCCTGTTTATTCACATTAACAAACAGTGGGGAAACGAAGACTTGACAATGACCAGTTGGCTGGGTAACATGCAACAGAAAAATATTATGTAATGTTTAAGCCACAGATTACAGTTTTTCGAAAATGTAAAAGGAATTCAATCATACAAAAGCAGCGCTAAATAAACCCCTCCCATGTGATTGTGATGTTCAGCTTTCCCACAATACTGTTGAAGTGTACCTCTGCTGCTGCCGTTACTGTAATAAACTGACAATTGTATGGAAACTTGTAATCCAAATCCTTGCTAGTCTTTGCCACACAGCAAACAAAGGGCTCAAACGCAAAAACCGCAAATCAGTCGAGTCAACTTTTGGTCATGTCTTTAAAAACCCTTAAAAACAGCTTGCATCTGAGAAAACACCCTAAATTCAGGCAAAACCATCAGAAAGCAGTCAAACCAAATCTATTAAGATTCAAATTCAGCTGAAGCAGTTCTGTCGTGTGGCCTGAGGTCACAGTGGATACTCCTGCAGTGTATTGTACTCCTTATTAAGTGAACCCCATCACATCGGGTTCAAACCAGCTGCACAGTGGCTGCCTGTAAGTAGCCCTGCAGGAACTGGAGGGCGTCTGCATTCAGACTGGTGCTCAGCATTGAGGGAACCTGCAGTTGAGAAAAGAAGCAAGAATTAGTCGTTTGCTTTCTGCATCGTCACATCCTCTGTTGCAGATCACAGCGGTGAAGTAATGGTCTTAACCTTTCTTTTATTCAAAACAAATCCAAACTGTGCACTGACTCGGTGGGAGGCAAAGGGCCATACTGAATAATTGTTCAATAATGTGTAGTAAATTAATTAAATATAAGAATTGATTATTTAGTGGCCATCCACAAGGATATGAATCAATGTTAAGATAGATAACCTACACATGATGGTGTTTTCCCCTTAAATATTAACAAGCCACCTTAGGTAGAAGAAATACTTCCCCCTGTATTATTTGTCCTTCCTGAGTTACGTATTCTGTGCCACAGAACATGACCTGTGGCACAAGTTGCATAGCATGTCCTGCACGTCTCTACATACCCTTCCCGGACAGGCAGTAGAGAGTTTGTGGAGCGACTGGGCCAGCAGGATCTTGGGGTTGCCGACAGCGTCTCCTATCGGGTCGTGCTCCTTCTTCCCGGCAAAGGCCAGCTGTGAAAAGGCCGTCTGATAGCCTGGTGTGTCTTCAATGTCAATGAAGTGCTCATCATCCGGGATGCTGTCATCTTCTGGCAGCTCAAAGAAACCAATGAGAGCCTGGAGCAGAGGGGTCCTGAACAGACATGAGAAACCCCAAATCTTCAGGTACAGTTTCACTCAGGACAAGAAACTATTACATGTCATTCAGGATGTATTGCACTATGTGTATTTACTTGCACTATTTTTGTTGTTTTTCTGTGTTACACTGTTGGAGGAGCCCGTGACCTAAGATTTCCATAACTACACTTTAGCCATGTACGAATGACCAATAAAAGCATTGAACCTTGTATGAGAAGAGCATTTCCAATCAATCAAACTGTTTTCACACACCCACACAGTACTGGATTGTCAGTGGCCTAAAGGTGTTCAGAGACTTTAACCGAGTAACTTTATGAAAAAGGGAACTAATGGTTGCATTTCCTCCAGACGGATCTCTTACCAAAGTTTAGTGTACTCCGTGTCCATCATTGACGGACATTCAGTAAGGATTTTTGTGATGCCAACAGCGCAAATCTTCTTTTCAACTGGTCCAGACACCTTCTGAACCTCTGGGATAATTATTTTCTCCAACACCATACCAAACATCCTGCAAGACAAAAAGCAACCAGGATTACTACGTTACATATATAAACTGATCCAGTGCAAGCTTTTGTGGTTTTAATGCCTTTAAGGTCAACAGAACATATTCCACTGCCTGAATGTTACGCTGACAGATGAACCCACTCAATAACCAGTCAAACATTTCTACTTCTGTCAACATCTTCTGGTGTATCTGGAGATTAAACTTACTTTGGCTGGATGCTGTCGAACATCTCCTGAAGTGCAATGGCTCCGTATTTGACACAATACAGGTTGATAAACACTAAGAAGCCTGTGAAAGAAAACAAGTCAAATGTTAGCATTTGAAACACAGCAGCATTAAACAGGGTTCTTACACCTTTTCCAAAGTCAAATTCAAGCACTTTTCAAGGTGCATTTTCAAACTTTTCAAGCATCTTACAGCTGTTGTAAATTACATATTTATATACACATACTCAAATGTAGGGATGGGTACCGAGCCCCGGTATTAAACGGGTCCTGGGGCTGAATTATTAAAGACCGTGGTGCCGTTAAGCTCCGACGTTATCGGTCTTTTTATCGGTACTGGAGACATCTAAAAAATGTATGTCATATGTATTATTGCTACACAAACATTATATTGCAGTTTTAGTGTCGCCAAATCCGTTTCTAAAATGCAATAAGACTGCAAAATGCATCTATGATGTTGTTTAGTATTTTCGATCTTTCCAATCCAGTCGAGAGATCTCTCTCTCTCTCCCGCCTGCTTGGGTGGGGGCCGGGCAGTTTACACACATGCAGCTGCTCAGCTGCTACATGCAGCAACACACACGGAGGAGATGGCAGAGAGAACGCACTCCGAGGTGTGGTTAAATGTTACCATTTAACCACACCTCGGAGTGCGTTCTCTCTGCCATCTCCTCCGTGTGTGTTGCTGCATGTAGCAGCTGAGCAGCTGCATGTGTGTAAACTGCCCNTACCCGCGGCTGAAATATCGATACTTTCTCGGGAAACAAAATATCGATATATATCGCAGGATCGATTAAATTGCACAGCCCTACCTTACATGCTAAACTCTTATTGCACTTTTGGTTACGAGCATTGTCCACATCGAGACGGGTAACATTTAACCACACCTCGGAGTGCGTTCTCTCTGCCATCTCCTCCGTGTGTGTGTGTGTGTGTTGCTGCATGTAGCAGCTGAGCAGCTGCATGTGTGTAAACTGCCCCGCCCCCTCCCAAGCAGGCGGGAGAGAGAGAGAGAGAGA